TTATTCGCCTGACGTTTCGACATCCGTCACAGATTTGTCATCAGAGACGTTAGCATAAAACAGTAGTAACGGTTGCTTATGCTAACCTCCTTTCAGCTCCAAGTTCAACCTCAATATAACTACATAAAGACCCATTTGAAGGTTTTTAGACGTAGACTGAACTTTGAGGTGGACAGCTGGGCCGAATCCTATTGGCCACAGCAGGATCATCACATGGTATTCATTAACCGGCCAACTGTCGATTGGTAGTATATGGAGGTGCTACATGATTACCCATATTGACAGCACATGTACTCGCTGGTGTATGGCATAGAAATTGATCTCTTCTCATGCCTACTAATTGACTGTGATAGTTTTCCGAGCTAGGAAGTCAGTTAAGCAAAGTTTACGCAGAAAAATATTTAAAAAAGCGCACAGACGGCTGGTAGAGCGCGTTAATCGGAGTGGTGTCATTGAGATCGACTGCAAACACTTCAGGGAACATTGAAAAACCCGACAGCCGACATCGATGACGGCAAGTACCCACCACCAAGGAGAGTAAACCCTTCATAACGATGACATCGGGAAGGCTTTACACAAATGTATTTTCGTCAAAATCTAGAGGCAATTTTATGTAAGATCGGAAGTCGGAGGAATCCACTGCCAGAACAGGAGAATATATATCCGAGACAAACCGAACACTGTAAAGTAAACAAAGACTAAAAGAGCCTTCACCGAGTCCCAAACCCTCGCGGAGGACAACGTAAGGGTGAACATGAAGTATCGAGACGGGACCCTCCGAGGCTAACTGGAATTGCTCCCATCCTGTTCAGGGATCAAGGCAAATCAGTTAACGGTGATCATAAGTGGACTAGAATATTCTCAATTACAGCGGGCAGGGCTCGATCACAAGGTTCACTGAAAAATCGTTTGGACAAGCCACTCAATGCCCAGAGTTCGTGTCTTTCCGATCCGAGATTTAAGCATGGCTGATAAGTTAGGGCTTGTGTGGAGTTAAATTATATCAAGACTCGCGGAGGAACTTAGTACCTTACCCCTCGAGTTTCAAGTGACATATGGGCAAACTTATATATCCACTATAGTATGTGAAACAGCCTAGATTTTTCTACAATATCAGGGCTAAAGGGACCATTCACAATTGTTCTGAAAACGTTGCTGACAGACTCACTGTAACTGAGATAGTAGTCAATATTTTAGCTTAACCGCCAAACATCCGAGCACTTGGACGACCTTAATGGAACCAGGTTCACCCTTAAGGGTTGGGAAGTGAGAAAAACTACACGTGGATGCAGGGCATCTTTGGCCTTTTCGGTTAAAGCTTTGCGTACACGCCAATCTTTTTGCCTTATTTAATCTCTCCAACTCGTTACCTTTCCTGCTGTCTAAAACATGAACTGAAAGATCTAAGGTAACTTTAAAAAAGAAGGGGGGGGAAGGGACGGGGCGAGTAGAATATATATCGACAGTCTCGGTTCTGTCCAGTACTGAACCTATCTGCGTTTTATCTATTCTCAGCGGCCGCTACCGAGCTCTCATCCTTATGCCTGTATGTGACCATGATCATAAAAAGGGTATTTTAAGAACTACGAATGTGTCTAATCTGGAAGGTAAGCACCATTAGCCATAGCTAACTTTAAGAACTGTAAAACATTAGTAATGAATGTACCCAGAGCGCCACAATAAGTACGGAAAAAATCAGTTTAAAATGAGAAAGGGAAATACCCCAGTAAAAGTACTGTATTAGTACTAACGAGTCAGAGCCGCCGAAGAACGGCCGGCTCTGGACCTGCTCGTGCGTCTGTCACCTAGGGTAGTGTTCGTGTAAATGAATAAGTGTCACGTAAGAGGCAGCCAGCCTCAGCTTGGTCAGTTGATTGGGCGGTAGTGGAGGCTGTCGAAGGCACTAAATGTGAGACTATACCCCTAAATCAGGAGCCGTTATCACGTGACTCCTAGCGAGGATTAGGCGCCAGCGGCGGAGCTATATATGTAGGCGTCCAAGTCGTGTGTGTGCTCATAGGAATGCAGTTATCACGCCCAGTTACGTATAGGAAGAGAAGGGGTAAGACAAGCAGTTTTTAGATCAACTGCTTCGCTAATAGCAGTCTATGGCACCTGTGATTGGCTGTCCCAGAGGCAGACGGAAGAGTGCAATCATGTGATGGCTGGCGGGCTTGGCGCCGGTGGTGGATGGCGCTAAATGTATGTCCCTTGGGGCGTTACATCTCCCACGGACACTAAGGCGTCGAAAATACGACCTACAATGAAATGAATCAATCAATCCAATACAAATGCCGGTTTGAGAGTGCGTCGATGCTGAAGTGAGTAGCTCGGACCGGAAACAGGGCTGATGTTGTACCTGTGCAGAAGTGCAGTTTGGGGCATCATTAAGGGGTTTGCAGGTGTGAACTCATCAAGGTGTGCCAGCGAGTTATCAAGACCGCGTGTACACAAAGTGCATCTCAGTGAAATCTGAGCCAGGCGAATCCGTCAGTGAAGGGAATGCAGAGCGTATCAAACGCAGGGGGATTTCAGCAGCCGGGCATAGAAGAGAATGGTCGATC